AAAATGTGACGAAAGCATATTGAAAAAGTGTGTCAATCGTGTTCAAGTAAAAGCCTCCCTCCTAGCGGCTGTTGCAGGTTACTATCAGGCCATTGCAGATGACGAAGGGACACTGTACGGGATTTCCATAGCTCGCCTCCAGCTCGCCGAAAAGCAAGCTATCACCGCGCTGAGTTGGGCCAAAACTTTCCCAAGCTCTCCCCCCGCGGGCTCAAATTTAAGTGCAGATACTGGCCCTATCTTGCTCGATCTCACGCGACGACAACTGGCAAATATCCAAGAAAAATTGGCATCATTTACCAAGGATAATGATTTTATATACCACCAACCGGTCCCTTCTGAACCCAGTTTATCGACAATCGCGAAGTTGCCCGCTGCGAAGGCAATACCCGTGAGTGAATTATACCAAGGACAAGATATACAGAGAATAATCGGACCAGACATCTTCCAAAAGATCGTTCCCATGTCTGTTACCGAATCAGCAAGCCTGTATGATGAAGAGAAGGCAAAACTAGTTCGTGCAGAAGCGGAGAAAGTTGAGGCTGCTAATGGTGAAATGGCTGCAAGTCTTGACTACCTCAAATTGCCAGGAAGTCTGAACATTCTGAAGGGTGGAATGGACCAGGATATGGATGTTGATGAAGATTTTAAGATGTGGTGTGAAGAATTGGCGAATGCGCCTCCTTTCCGTGAAGCTTTCAACGAGCTGCAGGAAGACAAAATATCCATACTAAGCGTATTGGACCAGTGCTCTAAACAGCTGGATATGGAAGAGAGCGTTTGTGAAAAAATGCGTTCCAAGTACGGCGCAGACTGGGTTCAACAACCTAGTTCCCGATTGACATCGACCTTGCGGAGTGATGTTCGAAACTACCGCGATACCATCGACGAAGCTAGTTCCAGCGACTCACAACTTCTAGTGAGATTGAGACAACATGAAGCTGATTTTGATGAGATGCGGTCAGCTGGAGAAACCGACGAAGCCGATGTTTTGTTCCAAAGGGCGCTGATTAAGGTTGGGGGGAAACATAGCAAGGGTCGAAATGAGCAGGGTAGTCCTTATAGTGCGGCCCCAGAAACAAATCTCCTGGGTGATGACTTCGACGCGAGGATGTCTGTTACTGAGCAGATAGCGAGGGTGGAGGAACTGCTTAAAAAGCTGAATCTTGTGAAAAGAGATAGAAATCAGATTTTGAAGGATCTGAAAGAGAAGGTGTGCACTATTCTGTTTCATATGTGGAGTAATAAAATGCTAACAAGCCATAGGTGCATAATGACGATATTTCCAATGTCCTTATACTGAACAAAAAATCGATCGCCAACCAAGAAAACCAGCTTTTCCAAGCAGAACTTGAGAAATTCAGACCTCACCAAAATCGACTATTACAAGCAAACCACAAGCAAACAGCACTCATGAAAGGAGGCTTAGCAAAGGTATACGGAGACTTACTCCAGGACAATAGGGTCAGA